GAAGCTATAACTGTGATTGTTATAACGCTTATTAATCGGGACACTTTGAACATTTGACTAAGAACATTTATAAATTTCGAACATTATAAACCATTTAACTTTAGTGAATTCACATTGGACATTAGTACTTTTGTGGAAACATTACCTAACGTCATTGGTGGGAAAAATCAGCGTGTGATCAGCGAAGGCCACAAAGCTAGCTAGCTACCTGTAAAGTGAATTGTACCTACATCAACTCGAAATTAACTCTTTCATCGTGAACCATCGTTAAGACATCAAGGAAGTTCCAGACCAGTAAGAGGACTCGATATTGTTTGTAAAACTTTTGTATATAAATCACTGTTTGTAATAACTATTTGTAATAACCGTTATTGTAAATTGTATTATTGTGTGTACATTAAAATATATTTGCATTATAAAAAGAAAACAGTGTGTACCAATCTTGTTGGCAAATATCATAAATTGGATATTTAAATATTTATCAAGCACTTCTTTAAACTCCCTTAAACATTCCAAAGACTAACAACCCTGTTAGAAAAATAAATGCTTATCAGCTGCAAATGACTTCTACTCTGCTAAAATTTATTTTAAACATTAATCTAATTCCCTATATGCCTGGCATGGCCAGGTGGTTAGGACGCTCGACTCGCAATCTGAGTGTCATAGGTTCGAATACGCGTCCCACCAAATATGCTCGCCCTTTCAACCGTGGGGCATTATAATGTTACGGTCAGTTCTACTATTCATTGATAATAGAATAGCCCAAGAGTTGGCGGCGGGTGGTGATGACTAGTTGCCTTCCCTCTAGTCTTATACTGCTAAATACTGCTAGCGCAGATAGCCCTCTTGTAGCTTTGCGCAAAATTCAAACAAACAAACAAAATTCCCTATAATTTTTCTTTTTTCAAGAGAAAACATTTTCAAAGATCTTAATCTGTGATTATATGACAATCTTTTTCCATCCCAGGTAGCATCCTAGTAGCCCTCATCTGAACCCTTTCCAACAATTCGATGTCTTTTTAAAGTAAGAAGCCCAAGACTGAAAATAGCACTACAAACGAGGCTAAATTATTGACCTATGCAATGAAATCAAAGCTTCTTCAGAATTATAGTTAACATTTCTGTAGATAGAATCTAAAATCATAGTTGACCTATAACTTGAACAGCACATTGAGTGGACGTCTTAAGAGATTGATCAACCATACTGCCCAGTTCCATTATTTTCATAACACTGTTAAAGTTATTCCCATTAAAATTTACTTTCAATTTAAATTATGATACTCCATATGCATTATCTTTATTTGGTTCATATTTAAATAAAAAGAGAAAAGTCTCAAATACTGAGCCCTAAATACTCCACTTGAGACATTAATCCAGTTTGACCAAACTCCATCTGTAACACCCTTCTGTTTTTTTATTGGTAAATTGTTTTTACACAATATATTTTGGGGGGATTTGAAGCTGAGACCAGGCACAAGCTAGGCGAGAGCTCTACCGAATGAGCTAAAGGGTTAACCCCCTAACGCTTCTCAATAAGTCACTTTTAACAATTCAAAAAGCTACACTTTTATCCAGCCAATTTTCTATCCAGAGAGCTAATTCATTCTCGAAAGGTGCCGGGGCACCGGACATCCATATCGGGAGGGCATCCAACGCAAAGAGTCGAATCGAATAGTAGAACCCTTTCCGCCATTCCCCAAGGTCTTAGGTACAAGGCTCCGGGCATCATAGAACCTCTGTACGCCACTGACACCTATAGATATAGTTTTAACAAGCCTTTTACGTGGAACCTTGTGAAGTGTTTTCTTAAAATCCAGATACATCAAATTCACACCCTTTCCATCATTTATATAAGCGTCATCGTTTTCAGAGAATGTCAAAAGGTATCTGTTATAGCCAGTGCCGACGAAGAATTTCGCCCAATAATGCCAATACCATAGCTCATCAAGCTGACTAGGATATGACAGGATACGATAGAGGCTGAGACTATTTATATTATCAAATTGCATGAACTACAGCTGTTATCCTGAACTAATTTAAGTTGGTGAAGTGAATTATTTATCATTTTTATATGAGCCATTTACAAATCAAAATTAGGGTAAAGATTAAAAACACAATATTAACTTTAGCTTATTTTTCATAGTAATTGTTATTCATTTAAAAAAAAAAAGATTTATTTCATTCAGATTTTTTTACTTGGTGTAAGCTGTAAAACATAGTAAAAATAGTGTTTTCTTCGTCTTATTGCCTCCCCCCCCAGTGGCACAGCAGCATGTCTGCGGACTTACAACGCTAGAAACCGAGTTTCGATACCCGTGATGGGCAGAGCACAGACAGCCCATTGTGTAGCTTTGTGCATA